CTGAAGCAGAAGTTACAAACTCAGTTTGTACTGCAGTTGCAATAAAGCATCTATTCACCACACTGGGAATACAGAGGAGAGTAACGAGGGGCTTGCAGAGCACCCAAATAAATCAGAAGCTGTTAAGCAACAGAGGGGTTGCTCCTAGCTTAGTGCACAATGCTCATAAACGTAATTAGACTTGTAACCACAAACAGGTATGTGACTAAAGCAAGTAAAGCTCCTATTAAAATCCATGCAGGGAACACTTCCCACCTTGCCTTGCAACAAAACTATAAGCATCCTGCTGATTATACACCAAGTGCAATGGGCACCAGCTCCAGAGCTGTCAGGCAGCCTCACACCTTACGTCCCTCCTCCTTAGTCGGATCAAGCCTGTTCTATGAGGTGACAGGAGGCCGAAGGCAGAGTTTCAGAGCAACAGAGGGGACGGTTCCTCTTGCTATTGATCACATCTGAAACGACATGTGTTATTTTGAAAGGAAATATGTCCTCAAAGCAGGTTAAGCTGCTTTCCCGCACTGAAACAAAGCAGTGATACAAGTCTATTTATGACCGCTTAATTATCAGGTTGATAGTAAGAACAGACTGTGGAACAGATCCCACTATTTTAAGCATTATTCTTTGGGGTGCTGAAATTTAAACAGGCTTCTGCTGACAGATTTTCTCCCGACTAATGAAATAACTTCTTTGCTAATCAAAGCCAGGCCTTGGGAAAGGAGATTTCAGTGATAGCAAGGGGCTGGGGATGCCTGACGCAGCTCCAGCTCCACTGGCACCCGTGAGCGAGCGCAGAGCTCAGGCCATACCTGAGGCCTGGCGCAGACCCCCGTTGCGAGGAGGCTGCCCCTCGGCCTGCAGCCGGCCTGGACCAGGGCACAGCCCCCGCAAGGCCGCTCTCGGCTTGAGACAGGGAGAGCAAAATCCAACCTAGCAAGCCGAGGCGAATACAATAACCTGAAGGAGACGTTTCCTCGCCATCGGCCCTCGCACTGCTCCGACCCTTCAGGGCTGAGGAGAGCAGGTCCGGCCCCAGGCAGACGACCGCACAGGAGGGAGGGAGGAGGGGGGAGGCGAGGAGGGCCCCCTCCCTGCCCAGTCAGCGCCC